GCGGCCCTGGCGATGATCACGGCGGCGGTAGCGCTCCTTCAAGGGTGTGAAGGACCCGCCACGAAGTACGACGGCTACTACGACACGGAGGTTTGTTCCAAGGACGGCGTGGTCGCGAGCGACCCGACGAACTACTGGCTGGTGCTGGTCGTCTGGGCGCTGGTCGTGGCCACCGTCTTCGGCTACGCGGGGTTCCGCTACGCCAGCTGCGGGGGGGGGCAGGAGCTGCTCCTCGTCCAGACCGAGCCCGATGACGCGAAGAACAAGAATATCGACTCAGGCATTGGCTGCATGTCATTCACGTCGACCAAGTCGACGGTGGATCAGAGCAACCGCATGAGGAGGACGGTTGGCACTCAATAGCAGACAACGTACAAGTGGAGATGGGCTACCCCACGTTTTCAGCCAGTGTCGATCAGCATGCACGGTGCCTTCCTTGAGGTGCATGCTGGGAGTGACGCCAAGGCTAGAGGACTTGTTCTGTACTGAGGCTCAGGGTGAGGGCCTTGAGCGGCTACGCGTTGCACCGTGAACGAGAACAGTGCGAGGTTTGCTGAGGTCGCGTTTCATTTGCCATGCTTGACAGTATTTTTCTCCTGACATGCGCAGAACCGTTGTGGTATAGCGCGCTGATGGCCATACTTATTTTGCCTGGGGACGCCCCAGCCTAGTTTACCTTTTCTGGAGTCGGTTGAAAGCTCGACTCTAGGCACACGCCGAGCTTCCAAGGGGGCGTGTTGTGGATTGTATTTGCTGGGGTCGGAGACCCCCCTGTGCAGGAGTCAGCTTGGCATGGCATGATCGGAGCAGCGTTGACAGGTCCTCTTGGCTCAAGAGATGACAGCAACGTCATCAATCTAGCTACATTTAATGATTTTGACCCCGATTCTCAGAGAATGGCGATTTCGCCTGAGACATCCTCCCAACATCGAGCCCCGACGTACCCTCTGGTACCCCAGACCCCGCCTCGGAGCCTCCTGCGGGGCTCCTGGAACCTCCTGGGGTCTCCTGGGGCTTTCTGTACCTTCTGGTACCCCAGACCCCGCCTCGGAGCCTCCTGGAAGTCTCCTGGAACCTCCTGGGGCCCCCTGCGGCCTCCTGCGGCCTCCTGGGGCTTCCTGGAGCCTCCTGGGGTTTTCTGGGGCCTCCTGAGGCCGCCTGGGGCCTCCTGGGGCCTCAGAATTACATGCACACACACAGAGACACAAATCACATCCAACACATCACGCGCTAGACAAACATAACACACAACATCTACAGCGCACAGAAAACACGCACAACACAGAACACACATCACACACACACAACACTCACAATCCCGGGGCCTCCTGGAGCCTTTTCCGGTATCCAAGTCGGGCCTCCTGAGGTTTCCTGGGGGGGGCCTGGTACACACATCGCAAGGTGTGGCAACCCCACTTGCGCTCGAGTGCGACCTCGATCTTAGATTCTTCTGCGTTCACCTCCTGCTTTTTCCCCTTCTCTTAGCCACGCCCTGGCGGCGCCGCCCCAGCTTCCCCTTCTTCATCTCCGATCCTGCAGTCATGGTGTCTTCCTGCTTCAAACGCCCTTTCGTTTTTTTTTGTATGAGCCTGGGCACACACGTGCCACTTGTGTGTATATATATATATATTATATATATAATATATATATATATATATATATATCCTCATACGCACCTCGAGGGAGTAGGGAGTAGAGCTCAGAGCCGATTAATTGAAGGCGGCGTCCGCGATGCTTCTGGGCGTTTTGCTAGGGACATCCTCGAACTTCTGAAAATCGGTGGCACCCCTCACGCAGATCGTCCCCCCAGGGCCACAATCCCTTGTAAATCAGTTGCGTCCGCGCTCCCAGGGCCACGATCCACCGTAAATTATATTGCGTCCGCGCTCCTAGGGCCACGATGCGCTCCCTTTGTGAAGTACGCGTTGCGTCCGCGCTCTCCCAGGGCCGGGGCTGGACCTAAACGGTGTTCTTGACGATGTCGTGGGCCGTTTTCGCTTCGACTTCGTTTTGCGGTAAAGGCGGATTCGAGACAAGAGCGAGGGAAAAATCGAAAACAAACCGAAAACGAAGAACACCGTTTAGGTTCAGCCCTGCCCAGGGCTACGTTCCTCAGAAAAATGGTTCTGTGCTCGGACTCCCAGAACCACCTGGGGAACCTGGGGCGCCCAGGCCGCTCGAGTTCTGCAAAAAACAAGCGTTTCGCTCGAGACATCCTCGAAGCGCCTCGCTCGAGACATCCTCAAGACCTTGGCTCGTGAAAACAAGCACTTCACCTGAGACATCCTCTGAATTCTAGTCCCCAACAAACGTTTCGCCCGAAACATCCTCAACACATTATGCAAACTGAGCGTTTCGCTCGGGACATCCTCAAACATGATGGACCCACGAACCCTGAACTAATTCTAGAAACGTAAGGCATGGCAACGTTTGCAAAGACACTTGATTGGGCGACGGGCGATTGCAATGCTGAGTGTATCGATCTTGACGTACCGTGCCAAGGGTTGTGCTGCGTTGCGCCGTGCTGACTTGCGATGTGCCATCCCGCGATTGTGCTCCATAGCGTTGTGGATCGAGTCCCCCTTTGTGCATCCGAGTCCTGACCGAACTGATCTTGATCTTAAGTTCGAGCTGTCTGAGCACATACTAGGGCTAATTGACAGGGGGACACGCCAGGGGGACGCGCCGCGGAACGTCCCAAGGGACGCGCCAGGCGACGTGCCAGGGGACGTGCCATGGGGACGCACCGCGGGACGTGCCAAGGGGACGCGCTACGGAACGTGCCAATGGACGTGCCACGGGACGCGCGAGGGGACGCGCCGCGCGACGTGCCAGGGGGATTCGCCACGGAACGTGCCAGGGAACGTGCTTGGCTGCAAGGCTGAATAGATCGATCTTGATGTATTGTGCCAAGGGTGGTGTTGTGCTGCGCCGTGCTGAATTGCGATGTGCCGTGCAGCGATTGTGTTCTTTTGCGTTGTGGATCGAGTCATCCTTTGCATCCGAGTCGAATTGATCTGGATCTTAAGCTCGAGCTGCCTGAGCACATAGTAGCTGCCCCAGAGCTAATTGACAGGGGAACCAGCCAGGAGGACGCGCCACGGAACGTGCCAGGGAACGTGCCAGGTTACAATGCGGAGTGTATCTGTCTTAATGTACCGTGGCGAGGGTTGTGTTGTGTTGCGCCGTGCTGAATTGCGATGCGCCATGCCGCGGTTGTGCTCTATAGCATCGTGGATTGAGTCCTCCTTTGCATCCGAGTCCTGACCGAACTGATCTTGATCTTAAGGTCGAGCTGCATGGGCACATAGTAGCTGCCCCAGAGCTAATTGTCAGGGGGACATGCCAGGAGGACGCGCCGCGGAACGTCCCAAGGGACGCGCCAGGCGACGTGCCAGGGGACGTGCCATGGGATCGCACTGCGGGACGTGCAAAGGGGACGCGCTACGGAACGTGTTGGGGACAAGCGTTTCGTTCTAGACATCTTGCCCAAATCTTCATGCTAGACATCCGCCTGGGCGACCTGGACACGTGAAAACAAGCGTTTCTCTCAACACATCCTCAACACATCTTCATGCTAGACATCCGCCTGAGCGAACTGGACACGTGAAAACAAGTGGCTCGCTCGAGACATCCTCAACACATCTTCATGGTAGATGTCCGCCTGGGTGACCTGGGCACGTGAAAACAAGCGTGACGCTCGAGACGTTGTCAACACCTCCTCATCCTAGGCATCCGCATGGGCGACCTGGACACATGAAAGCAAACGTCTCGCTCGAGACATCCTCAACACCTCTTCATATAAGATATTAGACATTCGCCTGGGCGATCTGGACACGTGGAAACGAGCGTCTCTCTCGAGACATCCTCAACACATCCTCATGCTAGACATCTGCCTGGACGACCTGGACGCGTGAAAACAAGCGTCTCGCTCGAGACAAACTCAACACATCTTCATGCTAGACATCTGTCTGGACGACCTTGACGCGTGCAAACAAGCGTTTCGCTCGAGACATCCTAAACACATCCTGATGCTAGTCATCTGCCTGGGCAACCTGGAGGCGTGAAACCAAGCGTCTCGCTCGAGACATCCTCAAGACCTGGGCACGTGAAAACAACCATTTGAACCCGAGCGAATTTATCTCAAGCGAGTTTGCACTCGAGCGAGTTCGCACTCGCATGACTTCAAATTAAGCGAAATTAAACGAGCGAAAAAAAAACAAGCGAATTCAAACCCGAGCACATTTAGATCGAGCGAGTTTTCGCCCGAGCGAATTTACACCCACATGACTTCAAACCGAGCGAAATTAAACGAGCAAAACAATTCCAACGAAATTACACAACAGCGACACAGAGGTGCTTCCAGGCGGCGACCAGACATCGACCGAGCAAGTTCCATCCGAGCGAAATTAAACCTGACTCTCCGAGCGGCTTGTGGGCTTGTGGTTTGCCTAACCGGAGGCGGTGTTCCCGGCGGCAACCGGGAATCGACCGAGCGGAAAAAACGAGCGGAATAAAACCCAAGCGAACAAAAACCGAGCGAACAAAAATTGAGCGAATTTAACCCGAGCGAATTTATGCCGAGCGAAATTGAACGAGCGAGGTTAAACTAGCGAAATTAAATTCGAGCGAAGCAAAGGTGAACATTTTCCCCGCCCCCCTCTGCTTCCCCCGCCGTTTTCGGCCGCGCCCTCCGCCTCCTCCCACCTCCTGCATGGTGGCACAGTTCGCTTCAACGGCATCCCCGTTCGGGCCTTGCTGCCAGCGCAGACGACCCACGAAAAACGAAAACTCCCCCGCCGCTTGCCTGCATCCCCCGAGGAGGAGGAGGAGGAGGAAGAGGAGGAGGAAGAAGAGGGAGGAGGAGGAGGAGGAGGAGGAGGAGGAGGAGGAGGAGGAGGAGGAGGAGGATGGGGCTTCGCCGCCGACGCAAAACAAGACTCCCCCGCCGCTTGCCGACGCATCCCTGCCGGCGGCCGCCGCTTGCGGACGCCGGGCAGGCAGATTCAAGATCACGACGCCCTCGCAGCCCGCGCAGGCGCGCGAGCGGCGGCCGCTGCGGCTTCGCCCTGTCTAAAGATTTTCATTGTGCCGAGCCGACGACGCCGACGACGCCAGCGACGCCGACGAGGACGACGAGGACGACGAGGACGACGAGGACGACGAGGACGACGACGACGACGACGACGACGAGGACGACGACGACGACGACGACGACGACGACGACGCCGACGAGGACGACGAGGACGACGACGAGGACGACGAGGACGACGACGAGGTCGACGAGGACGACGACGACGAGGACGACGACGTAGACGACGACGACGACGGCGGCGGCGGCGGCGGCGGCGGCGGCGGCGCCGCCGTCGCAGCTCATCGGCGCTCGTCGGTGTTGTCGTCGCTCGTCGCTCGGCGCTCGTCGGCGTTGTCGTCGCCGAGCGGCCCTGGGCCCCGCCGTTCGGCGCACGCGCCGCCGCATTCAAAAACGGTGGCCCGCGCCGGGCGAGGTCAAAGCCGGGGAGGCCCCATGAGGCCCTGACCTGCCCGTCCAGTGTTAAGTCGGGCGTGTCCCTCTACAGGGGGAATATTCAGAAATAGTCAAAGAATAGTCAGGGAACGATTTTTTGACTATTTCTGAGCATTTGGGGGGTATTTTTTGAGTATTCTTAATTTTTATCCTAAGATCCCCCTGTAGGGGGACACGCCCGACATAAGTCCAGTGCCCGTTGCGTTTTTCAACGGAAGTGCCCCCCTTCCCTGGACTCGCACCCTGCCTCTTCTTGCTGAGGGGGGAAGTCTTGAGGCTCACGTCGTGCCCCTGGGCCCCAGGCGCCACAACACCAAGGGCTCCCGCGCGATGCCTCCTCGCAGCTTGTTCGACAGGATCTTCTCGCTCGAGATTTCCTCACAGGTTACTCTGGAATCGCGCTCTCGCTCAGAATTCCGTTGCAAATTATTGAGTCGTTGCGCCCTCGACGCCCAGGAGTCGCACTCTCGCACGAGACGTGGTTGCAATTTACTCTAGGCTCGTGCTCTCGCCTGAGGCTCCTTCCCAAACTACGGAAGCCTCTGCAGTGCCCCGCCTGCCCGACCAGCCCGTGAGAGCCCGCCCGCCCGAACCCGCCCGTTGAAGTCCGCCCGACCCGCCCGTTAGGGTCCGCCCGCTCGCTTGCTGTAAACTTGCTTGCCCGCTTCGATCTCCTACCCGACCGCTGACGAACGAGCAACACACTCCCATACCCATAGGGGGGTCCTTTAGAGGAGGACTGGCTACGGGTATGGGTGCGGGTTGTCGGGCCCTGGGGAACGTTCCCGTTCGAGCGGGGACCCCCATCCGACAACACGCACCACATAGCCCTCTCCGACCCCCCTATGGGTATGGGTGTGTCTTGTTGGTTCGTCAACCGCCCCGCCCGGCAGGGTCTGCCTGCCCGATCCGCCCGTTGGGGTGTTTGTCCGCCCGCCTTTCCGTGTTCGTCCGCCCGTCCACGTGTCTGCAGGCTTCCTCGCACGTCGGAATGCCTTGCCCGCCTGACTCCGCCCGTGAGGGTCCGCCCGCCCGAGCTGCCAATTTTGCGGGCTGACCCGCCCGACCCGCCCGTCAGTGCCCGCTTGCCCAAAAGACTGCCCTTCTTTGCCTCCCCTCTGCTAGATGTTCTTCGCCCTCAAGCCTCCCCCCTCCCTCTTGCCCCTCTCCTTTCTCGCTTCCTCCTCCTTCTTTTCTCGCTCGTTCCCTTTCTTTGCCCTTTCTCATCCTATTGCTCTATAGCCCGCGCCAACTGCACCTTGCAGGCAAGAAAAATGTGCCATATACCCCGAAGGGGGTATGATCGAAGATGGAAGAGGGCGGGCATCGAGGACTTGAGGGCACACATGTTCAATGATACGCGAGCAACGGATAGCGAACCGTCTGAAAATCACTGTCGTCTTCTCCTCCGCCTCCGCCTCCTCCTCTGCCTCCCCCCCGCGGTGCCTCCTCCTCCTCCTCCTCCGACTCATCCTCTCATCCATCTGCCCTTCCCTCCATCCTTCGCCTCCACTTCCTCCGCCTCTCGCTCATCTACTTCCTCCTCTCCCTCTCGTCGTCCACGTCCTCGTCTTTTCCTCCTCGTCTTCCTTATCTTGGGCCAGCTGCAAGGCACTTCCACCTGTAGCGTCGGCTTCTTCATCCTCCGCCTCATCCTCTGCCTCTTCCCCACGGGTGACTCTGCCTCCCTCCTCCTCCTCCTCCTCCTCCTCCTTCTCCTCCTACTCTTCCTCCTCCTCCTCCTCCTCCTCCTCCCTCCATCCGCCATCTTTCCTCCTCCCTCCTCCCTCCTCCTCCCTCCTCCCTCGTCCTCCTCCGCCTCCTCCGCCTCCTCCTCCTCCGCCTCTTTTTCTTTCTACTCTGTTCTCAACGCGCTGGTTGTTGCTTCCTTGCTGGAGCCTGCGTCCTAGGCCGTTGGAACACTGAAACTGAGCAAACGCCAAAATCCGTCGAACACCTTTTGAGAAATCAATGATGGTGGCATCTTCGGGCCTTCTTGGGGGTCCACTTGGGCCGTCTTGGAGGCCTCGTGGCCCGTCGTAGGCGATTTGAGGCCATCTTCAGCAAACTTGGGGGCATCCCGCCCCATCTTGGAGTCATCTTGAGACCATCTTGGAATCTCTTGGGGCCGTCGTAGCCGTCTTGGAGACCACACAGGTCTTCTCAGAGGCTATCCTGAGGCCGGCTGGAGCGCGAAGACCGACGCCCCGCGGCCTCGGAAGCTGGTGGGTCCTTGCCCGGCGGGAGGTCGACGGGAGACACCTTGTGCGCGGCGTGCCAGGTGGCCGGCGCATCAGACCGAAGGCCCCGGGGAATTTGAGGAAAGGACCAGCGCCGACCTAAAGTTTAGTGCGCCTTGCACCCTTGTGGCAAGCCGCAGGGGGCGGCGGGTCCAGTGACTTCTGGCCCATCCCGCCACCGTACAGTGGGGGCGCGCAACAAGAAGCCATATGCTTTTCGTCAGGGTATCCTGGGATTCTTCGCTCCTCGCGCTGCGCGGTGACTTCCCGCAGCCGTTGAAGGAGCTGCTGCGTTCAGGGTGCTTCAGGTTTCCCCTCAGGTGCACCTCGCGCACGGGTTCTCAGGGTTGGGTTTCTTGCGAGGCTTTCTTGCGCGCACTGTACCTTTGTTGTCGGTCAAAGGCCTTTTCGAGTTTGCGGGGATCTGTTGGGAGGCCTTTCGGATGCATTTTGGGAGCGGTTTGGGAGTGCCGCTGGGGCCTCTCGGGGGCCTTTTGAGGTCTGATTTGGGCCTCTCGGGGGCCTGAAGCTTCTAGGAGCTTCGTGGGAGCCTCTTGGCGATCTCGGACGTCGTCTTGGGGCGGAGGGGTCGGACTGTCGGTTTGTCTTCCCCCTTCTGGGGGCCTCGCTTGGGCCCCTCTTGCGGTCCGATTGGCCCGTTTATGGGCGACTCCGGGGCCGTCTTGGGGCGATCTTGGTGGCTTCTTGGGCCGTCCTGGAGCGTCGAAAGCTTGAACGGGCGAGAGCGCGAAAGTCCTTCCAAAACCCATGGGGGAATCGATGTCTTTGCCACTCGGGGCCCTCTTGGGGGGGGGCTCTTGGAGCTCGCTTGCGGCATCGTGGTCACCTCCCTGCGCGCCCCGCGCCCCGCGATGCGCGGTCGTCTTCGCGCTCCTCGCGGCCGCCCAGGCGCCGACCCCCTTGGGATGCTGGCAGCCGGCCCGGCCCAGACCGCGACGCGCGAGAAGCGCGATGATCTTCGCGCCAAGTTCAAGCAGTGGCGAAGCGTCCTGGCGGGCCTACAGGCCCACCAAACCATGTTCTAAGAACACATTGTGGTTGGCACGAGATGTTCTCAGAGCAGTTCTGGCTGGGACTGCCTTGTTTTATCACATCGGGCTTGCGTTCTAAGAACCTTGGTTTTGTCCTTGGAACAGTCTTGGGGTTCTAAGAACACTTCGTGGTAGGACTACAGGAATGCCGGGACGGTCGGTCCCTGCTCAACAAGTAATGGGGCTGGCCCAGCGGGCCTCTTCGGCCGTGCGGAGGACACCCCGGGCGCCTTGGGGCGACCTGTCGACGACCGGGCCTCCCGGGGCCCTCTCTCTGCCTGTCTCGGGGCCCACCATTAGGGGGGGGATTTCGGAGCCCGCTTGGGGGCACCTCGGGGCCTCTTCGGCTCTGTGGAGACCACCTTTGGGCCTCCCGGCGCGATCTGTCCACCACTCGGCCTCCTGCGGGCCCTCTCCGCCCGCCTGTCTCGGGGCCCATTTGTGGCTGCGACAGAGCTTCACGCGACAGCTAGGGGGCCACATGTGCACCTTTCCCCTACCCCCCACGATTTCTGAGGGGGAGGGTGGGTTCACTTCGGTCGGGAGCTCCCGAGCGAAGTGAACCCCACCCTCCCCCTCAGAAATCGTGGGGGGTAGGGGAAGGGTGCACATGTAGCCCCCTACCTAACAGCGCGCAGGCCGCGACACACGCCCACAGGGGCAGCTGCTCCCGTGCCCGCAAGGCCCGTTCCTGCAGCGCGGGGGGCGGAGGGCTCCAAGGCAGGAGGCCCAGAAGTCGGCACCAGCACCAGCATCGGCGGCGTGCCTCCACCGATGGAAGATGATCCCGATCTCGGCGATGGTGGAAGCATTCGGGGCACCTGGGTGGCCGAGGGACCGTGTTGAGCGTCGACGTTTAGGATCCTCCTCCCCTGGTGGACGCGCCCGCCTGTTTGGGTGTTGGTGCCCCTTCTTAAGCCTCTAATGAGGGCCCTGAGGATCGGCGGCGAGCTTGCCTCGGGGTGGGACAGGGAGAAGTTATTCAGAAGGGACAGGAATGAAGGAGGAGGAGGAGGAGGAGGAGAAGGTGGCGGGGCTCCTCACAAGTCCTCGCGCCTTTGAGAGGTATTCTAAGCCTTCCCCGGAAGACGCAGCCGGCTTCTCCGAAGGCGCGAGGGCGTCTGAGAAGCCCCGCCGCTTTCTGAGAAGGCTTGCCCCCCCGGCTTCCGCCCCCTCGCCGCCGACCTCAGGGCTCGACGACCTCTCGCCGATCGACTGGTGGGGATGAGTGCGATGAGTCGAGGTGAGTGCAGGTGAATCCTGGCAGATCCAGGCAAATCTAGGTTCAGATTCATGGATCTCCCAGGAAGTCTGGAGCCGCTCGTGGCCGCTCCGGCGCGGGCCGAGGGGCGGCAGAAGCCGTTGGCGATGTCATCGTTGTCGCCGCCGCCCGCCGCCGCCGCCGCCGCCGCCGCCGCCCCCCGCCGCGGGCGCGCGGCCCTCGCCGCCCTGCGGAGAGGCGCCCTGCAACGCCTCGTCCGGCCCGCCCTCGGAGAGCTCCGGCCGGGCGACGCCGCAGACCTACAC